GACGCACCCTGCTGGTTCTGTTCCATCCACAGCTGTGTCATCTTCAGTAGGAACAGATCTTGGAGCATTCTTTGGGCGTGAACACTAACTTTGGGAGATACTGCTTCTCCGGATCAGGTATATTCCTCCCATTTACCTTTTGGTACAGATATGGTTTGATTATGGTTCAAGTTGGATCATTGAATATTGTATTCTAAATTTAGGGAATATGATTCTCAGTTGGGAGAAGGTAGGAAATTTTTTTGAAATTCGCCCACCCATTCCGCAACCTTTATGGCGTCCATTGGATGGATCCTACCATTCTTTCAGTAGTGGCTTCACTTCAGATTATGGAACTTTTGGGACACTGTACTGCAGCACGTTTAAGGCCATAACTCCGCAGGATGAACCTTGGCTGGCTTGATTCCTTCACTTGCCTGTATTAAAAAAATTAGAAGTTAAAAACCAGGCAATATCTACATTAAACAGTGAATCAATGATAAATATCGGGTGAATCAATACACCTTTTGGAGCCGTTTTTTTATTTATTTTTTCGCAACTGGTTCAGGGGGGGCTGGTTTAGGTCTCCTCTACCCCCTGAACCGGTCAGACCTCCGATACACCCACTGTAGGGGCGTATCGGAGGGGTCCCGAAATGACAGGCCGATACATATCGATGCTTTGAACCTTGAACGTGATTAATTGTTTTTTTTTATTTATGCTATGGTTTCCACATCGTAGTTGAACTCTACGAACCAATTAAGTCCCCGTTTGGAAGTGTTTATTTTTAAGTGCTTTTTAGAAAAAAAAAAAACACATATTTGAAGCTGGGACAAATAAGCTCAGTCTGAATAATCTCAAAATTTTGGCTTTTTTCAAGTGCTTTTGTGAAAATCACTTATTACATTTCATATTCTCAAAATACCTATACTACCCCTATTTAAAATAAGTGCTTTTCACCAAAAACATTCAAAACTGCTTATTAATTAGACTTATCAAATAATCACTCCTAAACGATGCCTAAATGCTGCCTGATATTTACCATCATCAATACATGGGGAAAAAGAGTAAATTAAAAACAGTTGAAGAATCTCCTGGTTCTGGTTCCACAAAGCTCAGTTGCTAGGTTGGTAGTGCCAAACAAGCCTTTCACGCATCCTGCCTAACTTGACAATGTTATGTTTTGTACATCCTTGGGGTGGTCTACTAGCTGTTCATCACAATTCATTAGTCAAGCCAGCCACGCAGGTTAACCAACTCTGGTAACACTAACAATGGATTATTCAAGCTTTATTAGAAGGCCTCGTAGATAAATCCACAGTGCAGTTTTATTTCATTGCAATAATAAAATTAGGAATGGCAATGCGGCGTGGCAGGACCGCGATTTCTCTTCCCCGAACCTTCTCTAACCTCATCCCCGTTCCCACGGGGAATGGAGATCCCCGAATTGTCTTGCTCTGCCTCGGTCATTCCTACTTGTATATTTATAATTTTTTTTAGCAATCTATCTAGAATTATTTTATATTATAATATATATTAATAATTATATATATATATATTATATTATATTATGCTACATAATATAGTCAGGGTGGACAAATACCATCTCCGCCCTACCCCAATCCCCAGACTTCCGGGTTTCTCCAAACCCACCCCGACCGGAGCAGGGTGGGGCCCGTGGGATGGGTCAAATTGCCATCTTTAAATAAAATACACCATACATTCATTTACCATTTACCATTGGGTGATGGCACCAGTCTACGATCAAGGTATGTACAATGGTTACATAACCCAATCAAGAGCCAACAGGCCAGTAAGCAACAAAAAGTTTAGGGAAAGTTCTTGACAAATTTTGTAAATATTTTTAAGAAATTTCAATCAACTTTTTATTTCTCTTATTTCCTATCAAACCAAACACAGCCCATACCATGTTTGTAATCAATTTCTTGGAGTTAAGTACTATCATACCAAAACACATGATACTAGAAAAACTTGTAACCAATCAACCAGTATCATAAAAGTGGTAATCAGTTAGATGGTATTTATCAAAAGTAGGGGGATGATTGGTCAAAACTCTTCCCATACTATTAGAAATATTGTTATGCGTGTATTGACCACACTGTATTGGATATATACATAGTTAGATACCATGCTATTAGCATGACTTTGATCTCTCCATCAAGCATTGAATACAACTTCAAACCATTAAGCTATTTTCCATAGAATTAAAAAGTGAAATACAATAAATGTTACTTTGTTTAGTATGGAACAAATTTCAAAATCAATATATTATAAACAAGATCTATAATATTGGTAAGACACTGGAAGAGCTTTGATCAATCAAAGCACCCCCATGATCGGTCACCTCTTTTATGATACCGGTTGATTAGTTATAAGTTTTCCTAATATCATAGTCAAATTCATTATAAACATTAATGGAATAAATGATCTATCAAATCCATATTTTTTATAAGAAAAATAATCATAGGAAATTTGTAGAAATAAAAAACTAATAATTAAATAATTATTTTAGTAATTAAAATTTATGAATTTGCACATGATATGCATCTTTGAATCTTTTACATATTTTTATAATTTTTTATTGATATTTTAATTCACACTAAATAATAACTTATTTATTAATTACAAAATAAAATTACTGTTTACAAATATTCAATAATTTAATGTTAAATTGATACTATGAAATCCACTAATATACATTTATATCAAAAAGTTTTTTTATTTCAAAAATTTGATAGAAATAAAAAATACTAATAATTGAATAATTATTTTAGTAATTAAAAATTATGAATTTGCATATGATAGGTATCTTAGAAATTTTAAAATATTTTATATACTTTATGTTAAGATTATACATTTTTATAAATGATTAATTGATATTTTAATTTACACTTTACAATAACATATTTATTGTTTACAAAAATAAAAAATATCATTTACCAAACATTTGAGAATTTAATATTTAGTTGAATTTTTTTGTTAATATTAAAAAGTAAAAATAGTAAAAAACAATTGATATAATAATTAAAATGTAATAGTTGTTTATACTTTATGTCTTAGACTTAAATAAAAACATAATAATGGCTTTGTGCATGTATTAATTTGTAAAATTATATATTCATCCTATATTAATTGTAATATGTTTTTTTATTCATATATACCATTAAAATAGATATTTCCTATGGATTTATGCATCATTATTTATGCCTATTTTGGCCTTAAATTTAGTGTTAAATAATGTATTTATAGGATTTGTATGTATTTCCTTAATGTATCCAGTATCCAAGTGTTTTCATTCATATCTTTTGTCCATATCCATATCCTTATCTGTATCAATATCCAAATTGCCCGATATGATACATGGGGTACTTAAATCCTTATTTTCACAGGATAGACATGCCTAAGACCGATCCCTGCAAATTTTTGAAAAAATAAAACTAAAAAAAGGAGTGTGCCGCTTGAAACACCCTTGTGCATACCGGGTGTATCGATACATTTTTCCCCAATTTCTTTTAGGAATAAAACGTTAACCAGCAATGATGCAAGAGATTGGATATATGTATCATCATATGGTAGGAATATCATCTCTAAAAGAGATCAGTTTCTTGTTTAAACAACACATAAAAGCAACCCCTAGCTAGATGTTTCCCATCAACAGACTTGCATAATACATACAAAAAAGATGTTGATTGTTGTCTAATTACTAAGAAGGTAAGTCAACAAACCCAGTTGCTATTAATTACAAAACGTGCACATGATAATGTGATTTTCCTTTCCAAAAAGAAGCTACATTGTTGTCATTTCCTTCAGTGTTTGATGTGGTAAATCCCATGAAACCGCCTTGTCAATTCTCCTCTAGCTGCTTAAGCATTCTCAGCAACCGCCTTGTCAATTTCACCAACATGATCCCGAAGAATTTTCCACTACAGGAGGATGAGGTGATTTGAATACCATGACCAATTGTCAAAAGGAGATAGAGAAATTATACAACAACAGAGAGAAAATGAATTACCTGATCCATAGTTAGTAAGATACCTGACACAAATATACAATCAAAATCATCACATTTATTGCAAATAGGCAACATAATAGTCAACTTTAAAATCGTTAAATTCAAGTCAAAATTAGGACAGTTAATCAATTTAAGTTGAGAGTCATCAAACACAACCCAAGCTCACACATAACCCAGGCTAGCTCCATGTTTTCAGGAGCTTAAATTGTAATTTCTTGGCCTGCTCCCTTCTTTGTGGGAAGAGAGGATGTTTGTTTTAATGAAATATCATTGTTATTTATCAAAAAAAAAAAAACTAATTTGGAATCATAACTACTTCCTATCAGCCTTATATAAAGATGGGAGAGGGATGCCGTCTTTCTGAAACAAGGCAAAATATTAATATTTAATAAACCAGCCCTACAGGCTTGCTCTTCAGCAAACTGTAAAATAAGCAAGGAAGAGTAATGAGGGAAGTGATCTACTAGGCTTCAGATAAGCGACTGGAGTGAGCTAAGAGAGTGAACAAAGTGAACCATGTTAGCAAGCATAACGAAACAAGCTTTAAGGCCGCAATTCCTGCCTTTCCTCTCGTTTATCTCTGTTTTTCTGTTGTGTCGTGATAGTAAGACCTCGATTTCTTATTGCACCCTAAAGGAGACAAATAAGCTCGTCCCCCCACCCACCCAGTATCCTCTAACAAATGAAAGTTGAAAATTTTTCTCTCTGAAAATAAGAGAGGAGACTAGAAAACCACCCCATGTTTCAGAATTTTGGAAAACACACAACTTCAAAAGCAGCAAAACAATTAAAAAAGAAAAGGGTTGCATGCAAACTGTGACACAAGAAGCACCACAACCCAACCCAATCAAATAAAAAGGGAGCCCACTGCCAACCAGCCAACCAAGAAGAAAAACAGAGGTGTTTTGGCTTGCAAGATCTGTCCTATGTTGATGCCTGGACAATAAGAAAATCAATGAACTCATAAGAGTTGGATGACAAACTAAGTACTCATATTTATGCCAAAAAAGGAGCCACCATTAAAGCATAGTAAGATGTGGAATGCAATCAATCAAAGAAAAAAAGGTTTAATGCACTTTCCCATGGTCAAACTTGAGGATGTGAAGCACTTCATATGGTGACAATATGACACAAAGAACTGCACATTACTCCTCCCCCTCCTTCCACTTTTAGTACTTTCTTCTTTGAAACCTTAGCCTTTCATTCTTTGAGCCTGTGGGGGTATAAAATAGTCTAGGTATGCCCTTTCCCAAAAACCAAACTAGCAACAACAACACAATATCAACCAGACAGACCCCCTACTGGTCATTCCTTCAAACCCTACCTTAGCATCTGCTACACCTTCTTAATAGGGCTTAACTTCTCTTCTCAAACCATAGGGTTCTTCTCCCCAAGTTCACCCAATTATCCAACCCTCCATTACAATCAGTCCTCACACCAAAATCCAAGGTTTTCCTTGACACAAGTTCAAACACTTCCATAACCCCCAATAATCACAACTCACAACAACCGTTTTCTCTTCCTTGAGCAACCAGATGACAACAAACTAAACCCATTCACTCAACAGATAAGAAGACATTAACTGAACAGTAAATTCACAAGCCAAACGAGGCTTTGTATCACAGAAAATGAAAGGGAACAGAAGCCAACAAACAAAACCCAACAAAAAGCATAAGAACTTCCTTTTCCCCGTTAGAAACAGCAGGAACGACGAAATGGGGGAACACTCGAACCTTTCTTCCCTGGCAGTTGCTTTCCATCTTTGACGTAGAACTCTCGAATGTCGACGACGACCTTCCCTTGCCAAGTCCTCACCGAGACTCTCCTGTTCTTCGAAATCTTCACCAAACAAAACCATTCGATCAAAAACAGGAACCGAGTGCCACTGAAAGGTAAAACAATACAACAACAGAGACGGAAATGGAGCGAAATGGAAATAGTAGGAGACCTCGCAAACGACAATGTCGCCAGAGTCGTCAGAGCCTTTCTTGAAGCTCTTCTTGGGTGGCCCCTCAACGGATTCTCCATCAGAGACGCACTCCTCTTCCTTCTTTCCTTTTGTCGACATCCTTCTTCAGCTCTCTCTTTACTGCACCCTATTACAATCTAACCAAACAACAAAAAACAGGAATATATAAATATGTTATAAACAACTAGAAGAACTCTGGATAATGTGAAGAGAGAGAGAGAGAGAGAGAGAGAGAGACTACGAAGTGCAGACCGCAGTCTGCAGAGCAAGTAGGCTTCGTAGTTCAGACTTCAGACAGAGAAAAGTGAGAACAGAGTCTGGAGGGAAAGTCAGGCTCTTGATCTTATTTCTTAAGGCCATGTTTGGTACCGCCGTTTCTGCCGATTCATTTTCATGTTGAAATTGGCCATGCAACGGCCCAACGTTTTATGGGCGTTTCGTCAGGAAACCCGCTTGGCATGCACCCGCTGAACAGGCGGTTTTTTAGTGTTTTGTTAGGAAACCTGTTTGTATGGATGCTAGTCGGGTGGGCCGGGCCGGGTTTTAGTTCAACCCAGGCCTAAGGTCCCGAGCCTGAGGTTAAGCCCGAACTATTCAACCTGAGCTCGATCCGCACTAAAGTTTCACGCATTCGGGTTGGGCTCGAGCCTAGGCCAGGTTCGGATTGATTAATCAATACACACTTAAAATTGATATAGATATATGCATGTATGCAAATATGTGTTTTTATATGCATATCTAAATATGTATAATCGGATTAAATTAAATATTTAGAAACTCAAACTTTTAAGCCAGGCCCAACCCAAAAATCAAAAATCCAAATTCAACCAATGTAGGTTGGGTCAGTCCAACTCAAGTTGGATCCGCCCAAATTGCACTCTACCTGTTTGGCATGCAAGCCACTGAATAGACATGTTTTGAATGTTGTCAGGAAACATATTTGGTAGGTACGTTGGTTTGGCTTTTTGAATGTTTTGGAAGGAAACTCGTTTTTTGACTTTTCAACTTTTAAGTAGGGCTGTCAGGACTTTGAAATACCCAAATCGCCTCCGAATCCAATTACTCCGGTTTTGGATGTTAGAATTTGTATCAGATTAATAATGGGATTGGATGTAGATATAACCCCAACCAATCTTATTAAAATTCGATTATGATAAAATATGTAGACATGTAGATGTTGTATGTAATTATATAAGGTTTATAATTGATTAATTTAATATTTTATACTTTTATACATTTATTATACATATTTAAGTTAGAAGTAATTATTCTTTTTTTGTTTTTTATCATCTTAATATGATTGTGGATTAAAAAAAAACTAGCGGGAGGGTCCCAACGAATGATAAGATAATATACTTTAAAAGTACTTGGTTTATGAAATTAAATGGCAGCTTGGATTGAATTCTATTATAAATAATATGCAATGGGTAATTTGTTCATGAGCTTCAAAAGAAAAATATATAAAGTAAATAATGATAATATTAGTTACCTGATTGATTTATTTAATAGATTTGATTAGAAAAAAGAGAAACAAAGGAAAAATAAATTACCTTCATTAAAATAGAAAATATTGAAATTAAAAAAAAAAAAATAGAAGCCCGACAGTTCTCCTCTCTCTCTCTCTATTATGAAACCAGGTCTCACACAACCTCTCCCCCTCTCCTTCTCTCTCCTTCCTAATTGTGACACTCGGTCGGTCCCAGGCAACCCATCTCTCTCTCTCTCTCTCTCTCTCTCTTTCTCTCTCACACACACACATACACTACCGCTAATGTTTTCAACTTGTTGTTAACCCGTTTGAACCATTACCCAACCATGATTCCGGGCTCAATCCAACCCAGGTGGTTGGATTGTTGACATGTTCAACCTGGTCACTAGGTCATGGGTTATACATTCAATATATTTGCGAACTTTTAAAAGCCATAACTTTGCACTTGGATATCCAATTGGGATAATTCTTTTAAGGGAAATTTAGAGTTCAGTCCACCTTAGAGATTTTTATTGGGTTTTTGGGTTTTATTTACCAACTCCACCTATGATATGATTCACTACCTCCTTTGAATTTTGATTTATTTTCCCACTTGTTACTATTCCAATTGTATTGAAGTTTCTGGGTGGATTGAACAATAAAACCCCCCTTTTTTTTTCTTTAATTTGGGTAACTTTTTGAGATCTATGCTCTCAAGTTGTAGTAGCCTCATAAGCACCTTGTCTTGCTATTTTCACAATAAAAAACCTTTTTTTGGCTCAAATCATAATTTTTAATATTTTTTATAAATAAAAAACTTAAGAGAGAACAGAATAGAAAATAGTTGCAATGAAAATTTGTGAGATTTTGAAGATAAATTTTAAGAGATTTAAAATAATTTTTATTTAAAATCAATTAACTAATTAACACTAGAAATATTATAATATGACACTTGTATTACATATTATATATACTTTTGTATTTATACAATGTATAAAATATATTTGTATACAAAAATAACATAAAATATAAAATATGTCATATATATGTGATAGAGGAATTCATATATATTAATATATACATGTATTTTTATAACAAGAATACAATATAAACATCTATCTATCTATATATTACAAAAATATAATATAATAAATATAGGTCGGATCTAATACAATATGAAAAATGTATTAAATCATTAAAAAGAAAAAAAAACATAATAAGTTTATATGAAGAAAAAAATGAAAGTATTTTTTTCAATTATTTTCATCATATATTAATATATACATGTCTTTTTAAAAATACAAAATAAACATATATACTACAAAAATACTATATATATATATATATATGGGTCTGACTATGATATAGAAAAATATAATATCCAAAAAATATCTGAACAATCAACTAGAATCATAAACGTGATGGTCAATTAAGTGTTATTTATCAAAATTCATAGATGGGTTTTGATTAATCAAAACTCTTTGATACCATGTCTTTTCCACATGGTATATAGATCGGAGTGATCCGAATTTGATCTGTTTTTCCAATCGGATCATATTATCCAATCGGATCCAAAATGCGATGGGAGGTTATTGAATCTGACAAAAAGGATCGGATTCGGATCGATCGCTATGAGTGTGTGCCAGTATGTCATATTGACTATAAATTAGTAAATACCCCAAAATACGAAGAGAGAGTGGGTGGGRAGGGGATGAAGTGAAAAGTTGATGTGATTGAAATGGTGTCATTAGTAAAAATAATATAAATTATATACATCAATTCTTTACCATACGAAGAGACACCGGGTGGGGAGAGAGATGAGGTGAAAATTAATTCTGGGCAATTTTTTGTCCTGAATATCAATAAAAGATAATATTTTTATAAAATAGTTAAAATAAAATAATTTTTTCTAAAAATATTAAAAAAGAACAATGATACCGTTTATCGTCTTCCTCTCCTCTGCCCTGTATTCCTCTGCTAGAAACCCTATATATAACCCCTGTTAGTTCGAGGTTCAAAGAAGAAAAAAAGAAATTAAAATAATCAATTTGCTGACAAAACAGAGATCAACCCAGCCAATCGCCGAGGAAAGGAAGAACGGAAGCATGCCTCGTCTTGGAGCCATGGATCAAATCTTACTGGGAAGAACTGAATTATGCACGAGCAATGATGTCCGGTGAGTGAAATGAGCCACAGATTTCTTATGATTTCCACTTCCACACATCATAAGAAATCTTACTGGATTCGTGGCTCCTTTGATCCGTGGCTCCCAAAGGAACTAAGACTAACTGGATTATGCACGAGTACAGGCTTTCAGAGCCTTAAAGGAAGAACTGGATTCGCACTTGGGCGATGAACAGAGCCATTGCCTCGTCTTCACCGAGGCTTCAAATCCAGCCTCGTCTTCACCGAGGTTTCAAATCCAGTGTATTTGGATGAATACAGGGCGGAAGAGGAAGAACAGTGTCGTTGCCCTTTTTTATATTTTTCAAAAATAAAATTACCTTATTTTGATTATTTTATAAAAATATTATCTTTTATTCATGCCCTTTATCTACTAGAAACCCTTTTTCAAATAAAAAAATTATAAAAACCCTTAGTCTTTTTTAAAATCCACCGTTATAATATTTTTTAATCCTCATATTATCCTTATAATAGTTACTAGCAAGGGAAATCCGTGCTAAGTACGGGTAAAGTAAAAAATTGAAGAAAATTGATGGCAATTACATTGACAGTCTCGGTTCTTAATTCTAAAGAATATAGAATAAAAAATAATTTATATCAATACAATTTTTTAAAGGATAAAGAAGATTATTTATTGGAAAAAGAAAAACTGCATCTTAATATTTCCATTTGTGTAGGTCTCATCCTCACCCCTATGACATTGAAACAACTGCAGTTGTCATTTTCCTCATAATTAGAACCATAAGCACCAGTTCGGCTTTTCCTATCAACCTTTTTTCCTGATTTATGAACAGTATAATCAGATAATTACTTAAAAGATGAAAAAAAACCAACTCTGAGCACATGAAAAAGGCATAACAGAAGAATAAAATAAAAAATAAAAAACAGCAACCTTGAGACACCTCCATTTAGTGAGAAGATGTCGCTTAGGTTGGCCTAYATTTACAAAAGAGAAAGCACAAACAGAGAAATTTAAGGTAATCTGTGAAAAGAGAAGAGCTACTTGACACATTAACCTAACTAATAAAGAATTAGTGAAGAAGTCGAAGATAAGAAATCTAATAAAGGGTTCATTTGGTTCATAGTCGGAATCCAAATCGGAATCCCTCATAATGGAAATGGTCTATTCCCCTCACCTGTTTGGTTCAGACTGATTCTGAGGTTGCTAAAATTATGAAAATTGCTAGATAAACCCACCACGATATATACGACGGAAACGCCATTGTACACCATGGAGATCTTTAGCTATAGTTCCTGTGATGGGGTTTGCTGAGACATGTCCTACAACAACAAAAGAAAGCCATGATTAATCTCTGTGAGCCTATTTCTTCCACCTGATCTCACAGGGGTTCCTCTCCGTGCATGATTAAATGTTGCAAAATTGATGGTTTATTTGAGTTCGAAAGCCATGGATGATACCCACCAGAGGTGGAAGGCATTCAGCAGAATGCCTCTTGAGAACAGAGAATCCGCCATGCGTGCTTGTATCAGATGCAGTGAGAACTTTGGAGAAGGAGAACACTTTAGGGCCCATGAGGACACCGAGGGAGAGATTCAAGCAGTCCATGCCGCAGGTTATTGTCATTCTGATGCAAAAATCCAAACGTTAGCCGTATCTAAGACCCAGAAAAGTAGATCAACTGCAACTGCAATCAAACAAGTGAGTATATAAACTATTCTCCAATTTCAGCAAGTCAGTAGGCAACCTTCGTTTCTGGAAGCAGTGTTATTTGAGCGAACACCTCATCTGTTTCCTTTTCCGCCTGTAAACCAAGAAAAAACCAGCCAAGAACGTTATTAGAAAACGAAATAACGATCGCCTCCCACTCGAACTGAAGGTGGGGAGCAGAGAGAGAAAGATACACAGACAGACAGACAGTGAGACAGACCTTTAACTCAACATTTACAACTGTGCACAGAATGTTGGAAGCTATATGTTAGATGAGCATTTTCAGATCATTATCAAGCTTTGAGAAGATCATAGGAATGAAACAGTGAAAGAGATACTGGAGAAACCAGAACCTGCACGATGTGTCCTTGTGGGAGGTAGAAGACCTTCTCACCGACTCGAGGAACAGCGGTGAGGGGGCCGTTCATGCATGCCACAGGTCCAAGTACAATGGATCCTTCTCTTCTGGGATCAGACAAGAAACAGTATTGAGAAAAAAACTGGGAACCATTTTTCAGTGGATCAAATAAGAACAA